CATGGCTTCCTGCTATATGCGTGTCATGTACTGGGGTGGGTGGGACTTTTCTTCTTTCTGCCATTGGCATAGCAATACCAAGGTTATTGGGTGGGCAGGCAAAAAAGAAGAGCTGATATCTTGCAGTTGAAAAGGAGAGGGTGGTTTTGTTGTTGCTTTTCCAGTTCAGACTAAAATTTGAGCCAAAGCAGCACTCAAAGTGTCATAATAATGCAGCCTCCACATTGTATGCTGTTGAAGTAAGTTCTCCCCACTAAGGTACACTCTATCCCAGTTGTGTCCACCGTGGGACTTGGTACCAGGGTAGATTGGAGTGTCATTGAGATACAGGTCTCCATGACCCACAAGGCCCAGGAGTTCATGGGCTCCTTGCAAATCATGAGACTATCTCATTATGTCTTCTGCTCAAAACATATAGCAGAGCACACGCTAGACTTGTTGCTTCTGATCAGACATGAAAATGGTGCTCTGAGTGGGGGTACTTTGATCTAACCCCTTTATCATGGGCAGATGACTGCTTGCTGAGATTCAGAATGATGGCAGCTTTCCCCCTCTGCAAGGATGGAGGACCTATTAAGATGATCCACCCCTGAAGGCCAGTGGATCTGGATGGTTTCCAGAAGACTGTGGGGGACTTTCCAGCTGAAATGGCTGGCATGCTTGTCAAATCCCTGGTCAATCTGTGGAACACAGAGATGACCCAAGAGGAAGACATGACCACTCCTAGGCAACCTCTTTGCTGTAGAGTTTTTACATCTGGAAGTAATGAAATCGCATAGGAGATGGCTTCAGCACAGGTGAAGGAAAATTCCTAGTAGATGCAATTGAACCCTGGTGTATCCCTACCATCAGGAATATTTAGAGGCAGTAAGGCTAACAAGGAACAACAGGGTTTTCAGGGGCCTATTACATGCTGACTCCAAGAACATTTCAGACACATCTGAGGCCTGTTGTAATATATTTGTTGGGGACTCTTGCATCTGCCAGGACTTAGACTCCAGAGTTACAGCAGCTGAATCAGATAAGGAACCCACCGTACCTCATCCAGTTTTGTAGGATGAGTTTCTGTTGATACAGCCTAAGGATGTGCCAACAAAGTGCTTGGACAGATCCACTTCTGTACTAGATGCTTGCCCCAGCAAGGAAGGTACAACTGGCTGGGCCAGGGAGGTGATTCATGCCTTCTTCCAAGAGGGAGTGGTTCCATGCCACCTGAAAGAGGTGGTGATGAGAGCACTCCTAAAGAAATCCTGCCTGAACCTGGAAGAATGTAACAACTATATGTTCCTCTCCTGGAAAACAGTCTTGAGCAGGTGGTTGCCAAGCAACTTCAGGCACTTTCGGGTGAGGCTGATTATCTGGACCTATTTCAGTAGGGCTTCAGGGTGGGCTTTCGCATAGAAGCAGCTTTGGTCACCCTACATTGATGACCTGTGCTGGGAAAGAGACAAACAGTAAGATCATCTGTTGGGCTCATCATAGGTTGTTTGCACAACTATTCACCTTCCATGGTTTATGGGCAGGATGGGACCATGAGTTTTGTGAAAATACACATGTGATCTGTAGAGCCTTCCCCAGAATGATGACTGCTAACACTTCCCCCAGTGCTGCTTCTAACTGCATGGTCTGGATGAACTCGACAGGCCGTATCTTGAGGTACTTTGCTCAAACTTCAGTTTAGTTGGCAAATGTCTGAGGTTCCAAGGCTCAGCAGCTGCCCTACTTTTTACGCTACCTCAGGTGCTGTGAAATGCCCAGAGCTTTAACATGCAGTTTGGGGACCTTTGAACAACTCTGTCCAGCACTTGGGCAAAAGGCAGGAGAAACACTTTTGACTTTTGTGCAGTTTTGTTAGCTGTTGGCAGTTCAAAGGTTCTCTTCTTCACTGAATGTACACGAACATTTCTACATGAACCTTTCTGACTCTACCCTAGGGAGAATCCCACTGTTCATTTCTTAAAAGGCTGACCCACTTTTTTGTTCCAGCTGCATCTGCTTTGCTCCCTCTCGCCTCCTTGCCCGAAAATTGGGCGGGGGGGGGGGGATACTTCAACTGCATTTCAGGAAGAATATAGAGGCAGCTGTACCTTCTAGCTGATATAGCAGGTAGTCTTATCTGACAGATAAAATGTTATATCACTTGTGCTTCAGTGACAAAAATAGTTTGTTTCTTTTGACCCTGTCACTCTGCTTGACATCCTGCCTCTAAAGAAATGAGGTAATTGAAATGAACAAAGTCTTCATTCTTTCTGGTTCTTTTAAATTGCAAGACTACAAAAACGTCGTGTTTACAAGACATACATTCCAGACAAAAGAAAAACAGTCCTTTTCCTAGGGTTGTGCCTGTCAGCCCACAAAGGCTAATAATAACATTCTCTTCCACATGAAGGCATTTTACTGGGTTCTCTCCTCTGAGGGTAAAACTGCCCTGGTGTCCAGTTCAGACTCAAGAAACCAGCTCACTCACCTGGGACTTGCAGTTCAGTTCCACACACTAATTGGTTTCAGTGGTTGGGCCACTGACATTTCTTCTACTGCTCTGCTATGCTGAAGAATGAGTAGTTATGAGAACAGAATTGGTATTTTTAGAAACTGGGTTTTGTGGCTGGACTACTGGGCTGGGAGATTGGAAAGCCAATTTCCAAGCCCCAGTCAGAGTCAATTTAACACTTCACCTTTTCACCTCTAGGTTAAAAATGCTTGCACTGAAATGGCAGAATTCAAGCATGGCGCCATTAAATGTGCAGGCACATTGGGCTAAGTTCAGTGTTATGCAAGCAAACTTCCATTTGCACAATAAGAGTTTCTATTCCTCACTGCAGTCTGGACAGACGGGCCTTTCCAAGCTGATTGAGGTGTGTTCAGGAACCACAGAGGAAGGGGGGATTTCAGCCTGTCAGCGCTACGTTATTCTTTCCATTTCTGGAAGGACACCCTGAGATGCAGCTGACAGAAGTGGCTTCATTTAAGCTGCAAAATGAATTGAAGGAGCCATTAGGAGAAAGGGTGTGTCCTCACTTTATGTGTTCATCGTTATTATTTTATTTAGTACATACAGGTCTAATCCACTCAATTGCTAATGTTCTCTGAGCAGAATAGAACTGGTTAAAATCTAAAATGCCACTATTTATAGTTAAAAATATACAACACAGTATAAATATTTAAAGTAATGAAATAAAGTCTAATGCAAAACAATAAACATCTTGGGAATTGATAAAGCATCCATAATAGCCTAAAATTAGGTTTCTAAAATGCCTGGGAGAAAAGAACGGTCTTTGCCCAGTACTGAAAAGATAACACAACTGCCAGGGGAGTTTATAAGTGGGGCATTGGAATGGAAAAGCCCATTCTCTTATTACCACCCATCTATATGTATGTCTCCATTAAAATGTGGGTAACTTTTAATGTACTGAAGTTTTAAACCTATGATATTAACCAATAGTCAACTGTGAAACTCACAGGTTAATCTTGACAAATTCATCTTTCTCAGACTAGCCTACTTCACAAAGTTGTCAGCAGACTACAGCTCCACATGAATCTCTTTTAAAGGCGACTGGGATACAAATATAACTTAAAAATAAAATTAAATGAATAGATGGGCAGGGGAAGTGTATGGAAGCCATGTTGGGAGTTAATGAAAGGTACTTAAATTCAGTGGAGGTTGGTTAAAGTTCTCCGCAGATGGTTTAAACTATTAGTAACTGCATAGTATCTAATTCCATGAGTCAACGTTTGCCCTGCAATTTCAGTGGTAGCTCGGCATGCTGGTGCCCTCACAGAGACTGTAGATATACAAGATTAAATGAAGAAGATGCTGGTAATTTTCATGACATTTGGCAATCATGCTGGTCTTCTCAAAACATCAGCCAAGCAGAACTGGCCATGAGCAGTGATCACTTCCTTCCCTGCAATGAAACTTAAACCCATTGAGGAGTTATGATGATTTCTTACCAAAAATGTACCAATCTGTTTTCTAGCTTCCCATGCAAGAAAAGAATGCAGTATTTCTTATTTGTCCATCTCCTAACCTGGTGCCCCCCCCCCCCAGATGTCCTGAACTACACTTCGCAGCATTCCTGACCATTGTCTATGATGGATGGGGCTGATGGGGTTGAAGTTCAAAGCACTTGGAGGACATGAGGTTGGAGAAAGCTGGTGTAGGATTATGGATGTGCTGTTTTCTCCAGGAATCTAGCAGAAAGCATTTACAGCACTATTCCCTACTTGTTTACTTCTACAAGTGTGTGCATGCCTGTAGTCTTTGGGGTCGTTTGCATCCCAGCACTTAACTTTCATGACATACCCCCATTTATTCACCTGTCCTACCAAATCAGAGCTCTTCCAGCATTACAGTGCTATGTTGTTATTTTAAAAGCACACTTAACTATACTAAAGAGGTCCTACATCATGCCAGGGGACCAGGGCATATGTGCTTACTCTGCTTCCCCCGCCCCACCTCAGTATGAAGACAGACTGACACAGACAGACAGACAGAAATATTCACTCTCTCTCCATCTTGTATGTTACCAAATTTTATGACTATACCTGTATTTTTGAAGGTTGAGCTACATTTCAGTACTATGGGCGTTTTGATCTCTGTCAAATGATACGTTTTAAAGCCATCTTTGGTACCCCAACTAAAGACCTATAATTAACAGCCCTCTAGTTTTGCTGCACTGTACAAATCCGTGCCATTAAAACATGCAGCCTCACAAAATCTGCCAAGGTCAACACAAGCCTTACCCATGTGCACTTCCCATTGACCTCCCCTGTCGAAATTTATCTACACGATAAAAGCCATTTAAATGCAATTTCCAAAGCACGGGCAGCTGGTGCGGCTCTCCCTCTGCCTCTGCAGTGCGACTGACTGGAGCTGCCGCTCGGTGCTGCCAGGCTGCTCGTTCTCCTTTCGGTTAACCCAAGTTGCCTCCGCGGGCGCTCCCCGCCCCGCCCCGCAAATCTGCTTGCGAGAGAGCTAACCTCGCTGTGACATCACGCACCTGCCAGTCACGGGGAGTTAAAAGCACCCTCAGCGCGGCCCTGTCAAGCTCTGCTGCAAACTGACGCAAGTGAAACACGTCTAGCTATCCCTGCAGCTGCCACCGACTGCTCTGACTGTAGCCCTTAATTCCACCGGGAAGAGCAGGAGGGGTGACTCAGGCTGTTCCAGCCTGGCCTGGTATTTTAGATAATCAGCCTACTCTTTAAACTGTGGCCGAGCTGGCGTGCAAGAGCGCTTGCCTAGGTCAAGGAGAAACCGTTCTCTCTCACAGAGTGACCGCCGGAGACACAATGCTGCACTGCTGAACGGCTTAGCATACTCTCAGTCTATAGCTGTGCGCGCAGTGCCTGGGCTTCTGCCTACGCCGGACACATTTCTTTACATTTAGAGACATACATGCAGCACCTTTACTGTGTTCAGTTCTTTTATGCAATGTGAGATAGATGAATGTGCATTTCTAGGCACCAGAAAGAGGAAAGATCATGGGAAAGCGTAGATAATACAGGCCAAAAAAGAAGAAAATTGGCAGGCAACTGCACAACAGTTCCAGCTTTGGCAGGGTGCAGTGGGAGAGAAGATTGCTGTCCGTATTTACATTCTCTGCCTCAATGAAGTTAATAGCAGAATTGCCCAATTCCAGCATTCAGCTCAAAGGGCTCATGGTTTCTTGGGAACAGACATACTTTCCATTTGCCCTTCTATTAAACAATAAGGACAACAGTACTCGTAAGCCTGAATTACTCGGCTGTAGGGCAGCTTTGCAGTGACCTTAAATTCCTGGGATCCTTATTGCTGCTTAGATTTCAAAACTGCAAGCATAAAAATGGGCATTTTTAACATGCTCCAAATGGCAGAGGTGAGGCAGAACAAGAAAATGGAGACAACTGAAACGTAAAACCACAGAGGGCATGTTGAAAGGCTTCACAGGAAGCTGCAGTTGTCATCTCAGCAGGCTTCTGCAGCGCAGTCGCCAAACTATCTTTTCAAACCAGTGACAGCTGTACACAATCACACAAACACCAGTGACAACATGTGGCTTGGCAAGTTGTTTTTTCTGGTGTCAGGAAAGTTGTTTCCAGATTTAGCCTGCTGTTGGGGATGTGATAAGGTTTTGACAGGGCAATCCTATATAAGCTCTTCTCAGAAGTAAGTTCCTCTGTTTTTAGTGGGGCTTCCTCACAGCGTTTTATACCCATTCCTTAGAGAGTTTTGATTGTGATACACATGTTCTGACTGAAACTATAAAATCAGTCTAGATTTTTAACACATTCACACATCTACCCAAACACTTGTTGAACGTAGCAAGGGCATCCAATTACTACAGCATGGCCACAAATGTATGCATTTATTTATTTATTAGATACCCCACTTTTTTCTTACAAAGAGCTCAAGGTGGATTACATAATTTTCCTCCTCCTGTTCTCAAACTTATCCCCACAACCACCACCCTGTGAGGCAGGCTGAACTGAGAGTCTGTGACTGGGCCAAAGTCACTGAGTTGGCTTCATGGCCAAGCGGGGACCAAAACCTAGGACCCCTGAGTCCCAGGGCCACGTTTGTATCCACCACACTAGCCTGTACAAATGTCTGAACATCTGGCTTGGATAAGAGGGTGAGTCAGGATGCAAGCAACCTGAGGTTCAGTCAAAACCCTACACAACAGAACTTCTTAGAAACCAAGTGAGTGCCCCACTCACTATCTGAGGCAATACTGCAGCCTGTAGAGTGTTCCCCATTCAAATATAACCTCTCAGTGTTTAGTTTAAAAAAATGAAAATCAAAATGGATTAATAATGTGAGCAAAAATAGGAAAGCTATTTTCACACACTTCTGCTAGAACCATGAAATTGCTGTTTCTCTAAAGACAATCAATAGAGCCCTGTTTAGTGGCCTAAATGTGTGAGGAATGATGTAGGCAGGGAGATGAGGCTATGAGGGCCGGTCCCAACTGCGACATCTCTGCTGCACTGTCCCTGCCTGCCTCTCGCGGAACTGTTGGTTCTGACTTCTCCCACTTTTACACGCTTCTCGCTATGTTAAACCATCAGATCTGAAAAAGAGCACACACACTGAAATCACCACATGATCAGAGACCTTGCCTTCGCAGAGCTTATGAAATATCAGAAAGGTTGGATGGCTTCATTTTCACAGGGGAAGATCCTGTATGACATTGTGAAGGTGTGTGCGCTTTTCCCTCTAGCATTACATAGGCTGTGACTGGAATAGTGTCACCTGCTGACTCTCCGCTTTTCATGAAGCTCTTAAAGGAACAGGCACACTCTCAGAAAAAGACTGGCAATCCCAGCTAGAAAAGAATCGGGTTTTGGTGGGAGATGGATGAGACTGCTTTGTGACTGCATAACTTTCCTAGTTTTGTGGCCATATGACTTTTCATCACAAGGAGAGAAAATGGTTTGTATGGCTCCACCACCTGACTGTATTATGACTCCTCCATTCATGGCAAACTAGCTCATAATTTTTGAAGTAATACTTGGGAGTGTTTGTAGAAGTGTTGCTGGAGCAGAGTGGATAAGAGTAATATGGCTTGGGACCACAACACCTGGTGGAGTTTCTCTCCCAAGCATCATCTACCCAGAGACTATGATCTGCCTCTGACTGCCATCTCTGAGGGAGGCTTGGTTGGTGGTAAAAAGAAGGACCTTTTCAGTGGTGGTCTTCCAGTTATGAGATTCCCACTGAGGCCTGCCTTGCACCAACCTTACTATCTTTTCTGCACCAGGTTAAGGCTGTCTGCTACTGCTGGGCATTTAATTAGTTTTCTGGGTCTTTGAGTTGATCATTTGCAGCAATGCATTTGCAGAAAGAACTGCACTGCTACTGATTTGCTACTGTGCCAGGTTTAAGACTTTCATTCTAACATACAAAGCCCTGAACAACTTGGGACCAGGGTGCTCCAGAGAGCAGGTTCTTCCTTGCCAAACTGCCTCATCACTGAGTTCATCGGAGGAGTAGTTCTGCGAGTAGTTCCACATGGACCCACGACGTAGCAGGAGTCTACCAGGAGAAGAAACTACACTATGGAGCCCATTCCTATGGAATTTTCTGCCTGGGGAAATCAGGCAGGCACTAACACCTTGCTGTTTCCATTGCCTGCTAAAGACAATCTTATTCTGGGAAAACTTTTCTTGTGGGCCTGCCAGGACTTCATCTTGTTTTGTTTTTAAATTGGTCAATACATTGACCAATACATTCGGAGTATCTCGGCCATAATTTAAAGCCAATAAATAAGAACAACAAATTAACAATTAAAATTTTGTTTAAATAAAAAGGTCTTGGCCTGGCACCGAAAAACAAATAACGACGGTGCCAGGCAGACCTCTCTGGGGAGCGCATTCCATAGGCCTTCTATTACCCTCCTAATATCCTTCACAGAGGACTCCTGGAGAAGGGCCTCCTCCACCGATCTTAAGGGGCGGGAGGGCATATATGGACGCAAGCGCTCCTTTAGAAAACCAGGTCCCAAGCCGTTGAGGGCTTTATAGGTCATAACCAACACCTTGAATTGGGCCCGGACTTCAGTGGGGAGCCAGTGAAGCTGACGGAGGACTGGGGTTATATGAGAACAACGCCCAGCCCCCGTCAGCAACCTGGCAGCTCTATGTTGCACCAATTGAAGTATCCAGACCGTCTTCAAGGGCAGCCCCATGTAGAGCGCATTGCAGAAATCTAATCAGGAAGTTACCAATGCATGTGTCACAGAATTATGTTCTTTCTTATTTGCTTTTTGCTGCTGGTTTGGTTGTTGTTTTTATTGTTGTTCATATTGTCCTCCTCTTTCACACCTTACATTAGTTGATTTTATGCTGTTTTAGATTTTTTTTTATTTTATTGCTGATTTTATTGGGCTATGGGATGGCATACAAATACAATAAGGAATTAAATAAATCAAGTGTGGGGTGGGGGGGGCAAGCTGATTGCCATGTATGCAGTCTCCACACTGCAGGCGTGTGCCTACCAGGGAAGACTTAATGTGACCAAAGGAGGTATCGTCTGTACTACTGGCTCTTACATTATCAATAACAGATTTACACTGATATGATAAGTTACAAGCCCAGGCGAACTCAAGTGGAAAAGGTGTTCCAGCCCAAGACTATCAGAGCTGAGGCTTGAGGTTTGCATCCTGTGTTCTAATATTTCAAGTGAGCACAGCAGAACTTGTTTTTTCCATGCGTTGCTTTGCATATTGGAATCTGTGTATCACATAGACGGCTTTGTCCTGCAAGTCTGTGTGCTGCTTAGTCACAAGGGAAGCCTAAGCCAGTTTGTAGCCTCAGGTGAAGTGATGCATACTTTCAAAAATGAGAAACCGAAAAGAACATTAAAGCTGCTTTTTGTTTTTCAAATCCTTCCTCTGAACGATCATAGGTTTGCTGTGTAAGCTTCTTTTCAACCCTCCGATTGTTTGCACACAGACACCACACACATTGCACAAATAATATGATGAAAAGCCTCACCAGTGAAGTTCTCTGGCTATCAGAAAAATCTTGGAGAAGGGGTTCTGCATGCAGTCCGGCTGCTGGAGACAAGCTTTAAGCCATTGTGACTTTTTATCCCATGTATTTCACACTTACCCTGAAAAGAAAGTAAAAGAACAGAACAGAAAAGAGATCATTTGAGAACAGAAGGAGAGACATACTTTAGGTTGCCTCTGTCTGCTTTGCATCTCCCTCCTTTTCTCTCCCAGGTGAACAATTCTTCTCACAGCTCTTTTGACTGAACTACATTCCTCTTAAGATTACTGGCCACACCTGAAAGCACAAATATAAACTACAAAGTATGTCAGGTAGCAGGGAGCTTAGCAAGAATAGTGTGGTAAGAAACAAGCTAATGCCAGTCCCATTCCAGGTTCAATCTAGATGGTGGCAAAATACTTATTTCAGTCAACCCTAGCTTGGATTAGGAGACGGACATTTATTTGGTTCCCAATTTCTCACTTTCAAACCAATGTGCAAACCAAAACTTGGTTATTATTTACAGTTTGCACTCTTCCAAATTTGGTAATGGAAATCTCCAATCAAATAATACATGCATATTAGGGACAGGTGCATAAATAAAAATGCAGAGGTTAATGCAATGCTAAAAATGCATGA